TGGCATCTGTTTGAACTCGTTATCAGTATAAAAGACACCTGTCCACAACCTCAAACAGTCACACTCCAAACTCCACCATGGCCAAGACCAAAGAGCTGTCAAAGGACACCAGAAACAAAATTGTAGACCTGCACCAGGCTGGGAAGACTGAATCTGCAATAGGTAAGCAGCTTGGTGTGAAGAAATCAACTGTGGAAGCAATTATTAGAAAATGGAAGACATACAAGACCACTGATAATCTCCCTCGATCTGGGACTCCACGCAAGATCTCACCCCGTGGGGTCAAAATGATCACAAGAACTGTGAGCAAAAATCCCAGAACCACACAGGGGGACCTAGTGAATGACCTGCAGAGAGCTGGGACCAAAGTAACAAAGGCTACCATCAGTAACACACTGCACCGCCAGGGACTCAAATCCTGCAGTGACAGACGTGTCCCCCTGCTTAAGCCAGTACATGTCCAGGCCCGTCTGAAGTTTGCTAGAGAGCATTTGGATGACCCATTTCTGTGAATGTGCTATTTGTGCTACAAATCAGTGTGTTTAGAATTACGACAATATATTAAAATAATATAAGAAATAACAGTTTGCAACATCAAGCAGCATAATGGACTGTTTTGTGCCGCTAAAATAGCTGGAAGCGAATGACACTGGAGGTCTCGCACATGTTAAAAATACAGTGGATAGGGCACAACAATTACTGATGGGAGAAACAAAACTTTTCAAAACTTTGAATCAAGTGAACCAATTGCTTCGAAAAAAATATTCAAATTATTTTTTCGAAATGCCCGAAACATTACACGCTGGAGATGCCTGCTGGACCAAATGGTGTAAACGCAATGACAACTCAGCTCAAACATGCATAAAAACACTTTTACCAACAATCATGCAATCAACAATTCATCAACACATTTAATACCATTAAATCGGAAGTGTCTGTATAATGCGTTATTAATTTACAGGGCTTGTTTTATTTGTTTAATGGAGGGCCTTGAAAATCGGGAAAATTAAAATTTTTAATACTATCTTTTTATTATACAAATGTGTTATTTAAATGTCTACAAATTTATCCGAGATTAGCTATATAGACACTGGTTCGTGCGTTCAGAGATCATCGCCCTCTAGCGGTGAGACACTGAAATGTCGAATCGTTTCGAAGCCTCGTTTAATGAAGTCACGTGACGTTGGCAGTTCGATACGCGCTCTGAATCACCGGTTCGAAACAAATGGTTTGCAAAGGTTTCGAAAGCATCATCACTCACTATCCACAGTCCTGACTAAAAACGGTCCTGAGTTCACACGTTTCGGTCATTTGCGAGAGTGTTAAGCACATACTGCACCGAACTGACTGTGGATTGATCTGCTGTGAGTGTGAACGAACGAAATGAATGAATGAAATGTGACACTATATTTCTTGCTTAAAATGAACCCTATATTATTATATACCCCCATATATTAATATGTTCAATAAATGACCATTTAATTAATAATTAAATAATAAACATTTTTAAATCGCTTATTGATAAATGTTCACCTTTTGATTATTGCTGATGCCTCTAGTAATTATGTGTCTGGTTTTTAATTTACAACCTATTTTGGGTTCATTTTAAGCCAGCCGTATAGTAATTTTTAAACAAAAGTTGAGTTAAATCAAACTACCCAGAAGGTTCCTAGATAAGGGCCTTTCGCATCGCGGGAACCTTTTCATAGTACCAGAACTAATTGTGGAACTACCCACTTTTTGGCGTTTTCGCACCGCCGGAACTGGGAGCGATTTTAGTACCGGACTGCCTTTTTCGAGAACCAAATTAGCTGCTACTCCGGAGCAGGGTCTAACCAGCACAACTGGTACTAATCGTGACGCAAGTAGACATTGATTGGCCAAACACGTATGAAAACGCCCTCACCCGCCATGATTTAAAACTCCGTGTAAACATACTGTAAACATTGTGTCAACTTATTTTGCAAGCATGGAGAACAGCGATAGATGGACGGACCTGAAGTGCAGGCACTTGTAGCAAATGTAGCACTGTCAGTTGTCGTTGGAGATTCTTAGTCCTCCTTTCCGTTCTTTCAATCGCTTTACGTATACGTCGACTTTCCATGTCCATTATTGTGAAACCCGCGAGACACAACAAACACACAGCTCCGATCACAGCGTCCTCCATCCTCCTGTTGTTAATGTTGTTCTTCTTTGTTTCTGTTGTTGAACGCCGCGCACAAATGACGCCGCTGTCGACCGGCTTACATCACTTCTTATCACACACTATCGGTGCGAATGCAACCCTTTAAATGGTACTGAGAAACCCAGTACTTTAGTACTGTACACTTAGTTCTGGAACTAAAGCGGTGCGAAAGGCCCTATAGTCTGTTAAAGATCTCTTCATCAGGAAAGCATCTGCTGTGTACACACCTCTGACAGACGTCTGTAAGATGTCAGTTTTACATTCATTCTAAATCATAAGCATCTTCAAGACATCTTCTAAACGTCTATTTGTCATCTGATAGGAAACGTCCTGTAGCTGTATTGCAGATGAGCAAACACTCTAAAAAATATGTATTGCAGATGTAATGCAGACGTCAAATAGCGTCTCCATGATGTATGTGTGCTAAACATTTAACCCATCCGCTGGGTCTGTCCATAATTCACCCAGTGCTGCCCTGTTTTTAACCCTTTTTTTTTTTTAGAGCATATGGTTATCAGTTCCAAACAGAACTCGGTTACACTGAGCTTAAAGTGTTTCATTCTGAGGACGAACAGACGAACCATCAGCTCTTAACAAGACGGTGGGCTCTAAATAAATGCCATCTTGCTTTGTGCAGCACAATGTATATAGCCTAGCAACTATTGATCTAGAGAAATGCTGTAGAAATAGGACTAAAATGGTCATATTGACTGACAGATGAGAATTTTTCTTCCAGTATAGCTGATGACTGGATAACAGGGCAGATAACAGGCCATTTTTCAGTTTTCTTCTCTGAACGGTAATTGCCTCTTACTTTCAATACTATATCAAACTCATAGTCAGCATTCAGTCTGTGGCCCGAAAGCAGCAGCACAATGCTTATAAGAAAATAAATAATTGCCTTGACCCTCCTGGACGGCCCATTCATCTCATACGAAGGTAAAGCTTTGTTCCTTGCGTCTCGCTCTCTCTCCTCGCCCCTCCTCTCTCATTCTCCACCCATCTCCTCAGCACTTCACACAGGGCAGCTTTAAATGGTGCGACAGGACATGGAGGAGGAGTGACTGGCACAGTGCGCTGATTTTCATGCCTCGGCAGGCCTGACGGAGTCTGCATGGCATTGTCAGGCCTCTTCCTTCCTTCAAACACAGTGAAAGTGCACAGCGGCAAACAGAAGCATGCAGAAGCACGCTTGCTGACTGCCGTATTAATCCATTGAGACACACACACACAGGTTTGTTTTTGTGAAAAGTGGGGACTCTCCATAGGCGTAATGGTTTTTATACTGTACAGACCGTATATTCTATTGCCCTACACCAACCCTACCCCTAAACCTACCCCTCACAGGAGACTTTGTGCTATTTCAGATTTTCAATACACTCCATTCTGTGTGATTTATAAGCGTTTTGAAAAGTGGGGACATGGGGTAATGTCCTGAAAAGTCACCTTCTCCTTCTAATACCGGTCATACCTTTGTCATTATACACATTTATGTCCTCATTTGTCACAAAAACGCGCACTCACACACACACACACACACACACCTTTACAAAGAAATTTAATGACACAGGTGGCTCATTGTAATCGGCTGGCACAAATGTTGATTATGCTTGACTAATGTAATTCACGAGAACATTTCATCACACTTCTAAGTAAATAGAATGCATGAATCAACAATCTGTCATAACAGAAACAGCAATGCCAAAAGCCAGACGTCCGGATGAAACCAAACCAAAATGGCTTTTGAGATAGTTTTGCTCAGTTAAGATTCTTGAACAGAATAGAGAACTGTTCAAACGTCATTGGAAAGCCCCTAGTTTTGCAGCGGCCAAGCAACAGCAGCTTGCATTCATATAGATCTGAACACATCCCATCCAATCAGAGTCCAATATAGAAGATCTCAGAAACCCAGCCTGCGATGTAAGTTCCCGGGCCGTTTGCCAAGCGTGTCCGGCATCAGTAACCATTCGGCTTTTGTTCGCCTCACAAAGAGTGGCTAGGAGAAGTCTGGGAGGAAAAGAAAATGCAGCTTTATTTATTCCTCCCTCATTCCTCTTCCTGTCTTGTTCTTTCCTGTGAGAGGGACAAAGAGTCGCGGTGCTCGGGGAAAAGAACGGGGCACTGTGTGCAATGTGACTCCGGCGCCGCTGGCTGATATCTATGGGCTTGAACTAGATGGGTGTGAAGAAACTAAAGAAAGACAGGACAGTAGATAGAACAAAAGACAGAGGAATGGAGCGAGAAAGTAGAATAAGAGGAACCTCTGTGGGATTAGACTGAAGGATAGTCATTTAAAGCAGTTCACCAAATCAGTGCATTAAACCTCATTCAACATACAGTAAACAACTTCAATTATCTGAATGATATTGCAATTTTATGACCAGTAAAACGTTTTTAAACTAAATGATCAAGCTACAACAATAAAAAAGCTAAGTTTTTATTTTTAGTCTACAACAATAAAAAATATAATCTTCATTGCTATAATTTGTCATTTTATTAATGCTATATATATTTCTGTTATTTGTTTATATATATATATATATATATATATATATATATATATTAATATAAGTTGTTTTGTGGCCTAAATAGGCTCACCAGTGTTTCGTTTTACACAGCCAAGCAAAAGTTTGGAGTAATTATGATTTATTTTAAAACATTTTTCTGACACTGAAGACTGTAGTAATGCTGCTGAAATCACAGCTTTGCATCACAGAAATAAATTACATTTTACATTATATTCACATAGGAAACCGCTATTTTAAATTGCAATAATATTTCACAATTGTACTGTTTCTACTGTAATTTTGACCAAATAAATGCAGCCTTGGTGAGCAGAAAAAATCTCAATTATTCCAAACCTTTGACGAGTATTGTTACGTCTAATTGTTAAACGACACATTTTCAAAAAACAGGTTAATTAAACAAAAGGCGAGAAATAATACATGACTACAATTCTTCTGCAACCCAACGTTTTTGGTAGACCTGATAATAAAGAGCCATTAATGTACTTTTCATTTAGGCCTCTGTATTTGTTTTAGCTTTAAATACTACATCTCATTAAAGTGAAATACATTACAGTATTTATCGACTATTTAAAACATGGCTATAAGAGTCCCTTCATAATTCATGGGCTGATATTCTTTTGAGTCACACATCAGTAACAGCAGAATAAATATCAATTCACAAACACATCTCGGATGCTTTAAGCAAACAGGTAGAGAATTAATGATGTGGAAGTATCTAGTGCATCTTGACTATTCACAGAAAACACAACAGTCCTCACCTAAACGCCAGTGCTTGTTATGTTTGTGACTGTTTAAAACATGAGACGGTCAGTTAGTGGTTGCTCATTCAGTAAAATCACATTAGACGAAAACGTTAAAAGCTACACACGAGTATAACACTGACCAGAGTACAGTACGATGATTTCAAATACTCTACATCTATAAAGCATCAGTCTGGACGGTCTCTCAGACCCGCTTGTCCCCGTTCTGGACGGACTCCGGCAGGCTGTTCAGCGCCGTCTCCTCGCTCTTGGACTGCAGGGGGTGATCTCCCTTCCTTAAGGACTTTTTGGTGGCTCTGGACAGCCTGCGTCTGAACGTGTCTCCGGCCAGAAAGTACAGGATAGGATCCACGCAGCTGTTGAGACTGGCCAGGCCGCGGGTCACCTGGTAGCTGGCGTACACGCGGTCGTTGAAGGCACACATATCCGCGCTCTGGAAGTACAGTCTGGCTCGCATGTTCAGGTTCTTCATGACGTGGAAGGGCAGGTAGGAGACGGCGAACACCGTGAGCACGATGATGACCAGGTATATCGACTTCTTCCTCAGCGGCGCGTTGTCCATGTCGTTGCAGATGAGGGCTTTGACGATGCCGCCGTAGCAGCTGAAGATGATGATGAACGGGATGCAGAAGCCGAACACCGTCATGCACATGCTGTAGATGAAGTATCCAGGCAGCTCGTCTTCGGTCGTGGTGTCGTAGCACGTCGTTAACCCCTTCTTAGGGCCGGTTCGCGAGTAGTAAAGGATGGGAGAGATGCCGACCACGACTATGAACCAAACGAGCGCGACGGTGCGAACGGCGTTCTTCTTTTTCAGCCTCCCGAGCGATTTGAGCGGATGCACGACGCCGGAGTATCTGTGCACGCTGATGCACGTGAGGAACAGGATGCTTCCGTAGAGATTCACGTGGAAGATGAACCTCTGCAGTCTGCATAAGACGTCTCCGAAAATCCAGTCTGTTTTGTTGAAGTAGTAGAAGATGAGGAACGGAAGCGAGAGCACGTAACAAAAATCCGCCAGCGCCAGGTTGAACATGTAGACGGAGATGCTGCTCCAGGGCCTCATGTGGCACACGAACATCCATATGGCCAAGCTGTTCCCGATAAAGCCTGCGATGAACACGATGATGTAGACGATGGGGAGATAGTAAAACTGAAAGCCGGTCTTGGTTAACGAGCATCTTGCCGTGTGGTTGGAAAACTCGCTCACGTTGTTCATGAGCGCTGTCAGGTTACTGAACTCCGCCGTCATGATGTCAACGATCAGCAGGTCTGCGATCTACGAGAAAACGATTAACCTACATTATTAACCCAAATATGCTCCAGAGACAAGCTTTATTTCCACTCCGATTGCAGCCAAAATTGATCAATTGTTATTTCCGATATCCATTAGAACATCAAGATAATAAGGGCTTCTTACATCAAAGTTGAAAGTTTAAATCAAATCAAATTTAATGCATTTGGGTGAAGACATTTTCTAAATATATACAAATAGTAAATGTTAATAGACTAATAGATAGAATTCAGTATTTTAAATTTCATTAGAAACAGATAAAACACTGTAACTGGAAAAAAAGCAAAACAGTTTAGGATGTTTAAAAATGTAATGGCAAAAAAAGTAACTTAATAAATATATATTTGCAAGCAATGATTATAGGGACTCATATGTGCAAAGAGCCAAGAACCGTCTGCTGTCCCCTGATCAAGGCTACAGTGATGATGGATCAGGGTTTGAACCTGCAACACATATATATATATATATGCATGAAAGATCAGGCGCCACACCACCCACAGTTTTGGCATCTTACCAAAGAGACATTAAAGCTGAGTGTCAATGCATGAATGCTTTTGAGATTCTTATCACCAAATGGATATATTTCATTTTAACATGCATGACCTGAAGACTTTATTTAAGATTCCACGATTTGTAGAAAGCGTATTACTCACATCATTTCTAACCAATTGTTTGTTTGTTGTTTCTCTCACACACACACACACTCACACACACACTCACACACACACACACACACACACACAGACACTATAATGAGTAGGCCTACAGACTAACAGGAACCCGCGAAAATAACAGGGTCTGTTTTGGAATTTTAAATTATTTACCTTTTTTTTTATATCAAAGAAGTTTTGTTAGATTTAGCTCACTTTAGGGTAACACACTTCATTTAGAGGAAGCAACATATTTTGCACTATAGCAGACCTTTCCTTTAGTAGGAAATATCATACTGTTCCACGTTTTGTTCCGTGCTCTTTGAAAGTCACAAAAATATACAAACTAATAATCAGAGCTTGTCTTGAGCAGCCGATGTTTTCATGTAACCGTAGAGGTATTTATCAGCTTTGTGGAAGCGCCACTGTATACTTGCCATGAATTACAGGAAAATCAGATTGTTTTCCTTTTCTGCATGTGTTTAGTCTGTAGTCAAGGCTAAAGAGAATGGAAGAGAACTGTGAGAATAACAGACTAAGGTTTCAATATAAGTGAGCAGAATCTGAGAATCTCATTGTTACAGTGTCTATTTCCACACACACTCAAGGCTAAAACATGAATACACTGCATGCACAATCAAGCACAGGCAACAGAAACGAAAGCGAGAAGTACCAGGATGAAGAATTATGGAGTAAACCTTCCTCTTTTATTTTGAGACAGACTTGGCTGAATGTCTCTGATGAAAGACCCTTGACTCAAATCTAGCAGCCACACACACACACACACACACACACACACACACACACACACACACACACACACTCACACATGTGCAAAGAGCCAAGAACCGTCTGCTGTCCCCTGATCAAGGCTACAGTGATGATGGATCAGGGTTTGAACCTGCAACACATATATATATATATATGCATGAAAGATCAGGCGCCACACCACCCACAGTTTTGGCATCTTACCAAAGAGACATTCAAGCTGAGTGTCAATGCATGAATGCTTTTGAGATTCTTATCACCAAATGGATATATTTCATTTTAACATGCATGACCTGAAGACTTTATTTAAGATTCCACGATTTGTAGAAAGCGTATTACTCACATCATTTCTAACCAATTGTTTGTTTGTTGTTTTGAATATAATAGTTAGCTCATGTGTGTCTCGCGCCCTGTGCCATATCTTCATTCTGGAAGATGTTAAGTCACAAAGCATGTATGCTGATATGGCACTTGATTTAGCAGCATGTGATACAGTAACAGCCGTAATATCACCGGAGCGCAGACGCAGACGCAGAGCAGGGCAAGTTTATAACTCATGCACTTCAGCTACGGACAGGAACATTTGTCCCCCGAGCAGCCATTTCAACGCAAACAAACAAACAATTGCATAATCACCAGTTGCTTGGAGCGAAAGAGCGAACGTCGGTGTCACTCACCAGCCAGACGCGCGTGTAGCCCGCATTCCTCGAGCGCATTTACCGGAACCGACAGCAGCATGGATGTGAGAGCCTGCTTTCCCGCCACAGGAATATCTGCTTCGCTCAGTGCTTACAGTAAGAGCGACTCTCTCTCTCACCGACACCGACACTCACTGCGCCGCGAGCCGAACCGACTCCGCGCGAGCCGATGACCGAGCCGCTCCGAATGAACCGAGTCTTCTGTAATGATTCATATGAACCGAGCAGTGACACTATAAAGAGGTCGAGTCATAATCCACCTTGACACACTTCCAGAAGCAAATAGAAAGCACAGTTAGTGTCTCAATACGAGTGACAACATCAAATGTAATAGAATTTCACTAAACAACACATTGGGGTTAATTCAGGATAATTGGGACATTTGGGTCATTTCAGTGGAAAAGCGTCCCTAAATTCACCCCATGAATAAACGTAAGCAATGACACATTAATAAGCTATTTAAGTAAACATTTTTGCATAATAAAACAAATACGAATAGGAATCCATAGAAATAACTGAAGCCATAGAATTAATAAATATGCCATACATTAACCCTTTATTCTGAAACTCGTGTGAATGCACATTATTGCTGCCCCTAAATCGTTTGTACATTTAAAATTAAATCACACACTTTTTTTTTTAAAGAACTGAATAATTGAAACGAACCGTCCGAGCGACTCGACTCTCTGTAATGACTCGGTCTGGAGCCTCGGCGCAGCGGCTGTGTTTGTCGGAGGACGCAGCGCGGATAAAGATCGCTTCTTGTTTCAGTTCTTCATGTGCTCTGCTTATAGCTACTGCACAGCTGATCTCAGACTCACACACTCACATTATGCTTCACTTAGAAAACTACATATCGAGCACAGGCTGCATGTCCGGGCCACCGAAACAGGTTTTACAACCTTATGAGTTCGTGCAAGAAACAGACACACACGCGCACACACACACACACACTCACACACACACACACAGGGAAAAAGACACAAGATCACAAAATTAATTTAAGATTTATTTTTAATTAAAAATTAATTACATTTGTTTTAGGAATTAGTTATTTTCTCATTGTTCCATTATTATTCAATTTTTTATTTCTGCAGGTTTGCTCCTCCATCGCAGCTAACAGTATTTTCTCTTCTCGATGGTTACAGCTCATGCAAACACCCTGCTGTGCAACTAAATTGGTACTCTGAAGTACGCTGTGAATGTGTGTGTGTGTGTGTGAGAGTGTGTGTGTTTCTCATGCACACATGTACACATATAAATCCCAGATCCCAGCTGTGTAGAGATGAGATCTGGCAGATAGAGAGAGAGTTAGTGAAAAAGGCAAAGAAACAAGCTGCACCTGTTTCCCTGTGTTTGACAGCATGAGAAAAACCCTCTCACTGATGCTTACACAAGCCAAAGGCTATTAGCTCACTGTAGGACTGCTTCAATTGAATGTTTACGATGCTATTTCTTGCTATTTTGGTGGAAGTAAACAGATTTGTTTTCTTGCACATACACACCCACAAATTTTAAATTAGTGCTTACTGATGATATCTGTGTTAGATCTGTCAGAGAATTCATTCTGAAAACATGCAAACATTTGATTACATTTGCATTTAGAGCATTCTAGACTTTTCACCCAAATCACACTAATTTCAGCCCCACTGAAGCATAATAATAAATATAACGGTTTTCAGTTTTTTAACTGTACAATTCAGTGGTCTGCGTAATCTGGGAACCTGTAAAGCACAAGCCTGAACTGTGGAAATGTTATTTTTGTCCTTTAGATGTAGATATATGCATGTCCATCCATTTTTCATGAGTTTTGACTGAATCACTTGAGATAATTACTAAGGCAGCCTATTACAGGAACCTTTACTAAACACACGCGTAAAGCAGCAGCCCACAGAACGGGAGTCTATTAGCTGTGGTCCGTCTGTCTGATTCAGATGCGTTCTCAGAGCAAGAACAGCCGGACATTTGTGCTTCTGTCATCAGCATCCTCTTGTTTTTCATAGGTTATGTATTATTATTGTGTTAACTGTGTCTAATACGGTAATGCCATTGAAAGATCTCATATATATCGATCGTTTCACAGCACATCCATCTCTGGCTTCTGCACCCTCTCTTCCCTCCTCTTAGATATTTGTCAGAACTGACATTATTGATCCTAATGTCTTCTTACGCTGTTCACTGTACATTAAAGTCCATCTTTCTGCTCACCTGGCCTCCTCTTCTGTCAGCGACCGACCGCAGGATGTGGAAGCAGAAAGATCTGTTGACATTTAAACAGAGAAGTCTTTAAATGTTTTCAATAAATGCCGTGATATATTCTGTACAGATACAGTTTATAATAGCTCAGTTTGAGCAATGGCGCTATTAGCCCACTACATTTACAAAGCAGTACTGGCACTTAATGCGTATTGCTTGTCACACATGGTTTTGTAAGGAATGAAGCAGAACCAGCCTGCCGTTACTGCAAAGTAAACCCTGGTGGGCTGATACGAGATCCTTATCACCCATCTGGGTTTGTTTTTTATTTTATGCATTATCCCGCATTTTACATACAAGGCTACTTACCAAGTAAATAAAAAAATGGTCATGCACCGTTACAAGGAACATGTGGTTTCTGTAGCACTTTATACAATATTGATCATGTCAAAGCAGCTTTATGGTGTTAAACAATAAATGTTGTTTCGTTACCAATTAGGACATTTTTATAGTATGCTAAGAGATCCAAGATCAAAATACCAATGTGTTACATACTCAATAGTATTACGCACATGCAACACAAATGTCTTGTAAAAAGGTCTCAAGTATAGTACACTCATCCGTGTCATTTGTTGTGCATTATGATTCAGCCAATATCAAAATATGTTACCATCCTCTGCTTATTTTCATGAAGTGCTATAAAGCGTGTTTGTTAACATTAACAAATTAATGATTAATTTCCTGCATGCACAGATAAATCAAAACCGCTGTGCGTAATAAGAAAACGAACCCTGTACAAAATGTGTGCTTGATGATGGTCTGATCGCAGAGGTCTGACAGCAGATGAGAAAGCACGCTAATACTTCGAAACATGACTTAATGGTGTACATTAAAGCTTTTACTCCGAGCGGTGCAGGGCAAAATGCTGAGTTGCGTAGTGTGTCCTAATGGGCTTCATTGTGGCTGTATCTCTCTCCTGGAGCCCAGAGGATCGATTTCTCCTCCAACACAACCTGTATGAATGTATTTTACGTCATCTTTTTATTTTTCCGTTAAGAATCCGCTGTCCACTGAGAAAGCAGCTCACCGTGCAGAGATTATTTTATAGCTGACCCAAAAAATCCTCTCAAAAACCTTTAGAGGCAGTGCTTTAGTACATCGTCCTCGTCACCAAACCCGAGGATCAAGAAGTACAGTGGGATGTGCAGCATTTATCAGAGATTCATCATCCTTCCTCCTCAGTTGAAGTCATTTCCTGTTTGGTGTTAGTATCTAGTGTGCAGACTGTGGACTTTACACCTGCATTACACCTTTAAGATGACTGAAATACAGAGTATAAAACTGAAATAACTTGCAAAATCATTCATTAAAATTCACTACAGACTTTCTTTCCACTCACCATTCGATAATAGATCAGACGCCCTTTGAAAATAAATTTTTTTAAAAATACAAAAAATTTAATACAAATATTAAAAGATTATGAAAGCTTTTTACTTGAAAGAGATCTCAAAAATGTAATGTGGCTTTACAGTAACAATAAATGGTATTTGATATCATATTGCTTCTTAAAATATGATAAATATGGTGATTTGGACATCCACCTTAATAAGTTATATTAAATAGGCCTATCATTATCTAATGATGTCAACAAATGGAAAAGCCCGCAAGCCGAACAGAAGCCCCAATAATGCCATATTCTCCAGTTATTGACCCTGATAGCACGGAACAGAGTTACTATTATAGTAAACTCTTTTTTTCTTCTTTAATCTCATTTGATGCATGCAAACGAATAAGGTAAGATCATCCATAGATAAGTGTGGCATCAATTCAAAGTTTTCTGCTTGGTGTCATGTAGATTGCAGAACTTAGTTTTATTAGAAATATAAAAATGAATATAAATATACTAGCATATACTAGAAATATAAATATTGATCAACTGGTCTATAATATCAGACAGACAATTTCCCCTCTCTCTGCTTGTTCCTGAGCTAAATATACCTTGTAGTTGTTCACTCAGCTCTAAACTTTATTTAATAAAAATATAAAGTCCTGACAGGTGACTGTCTTTGTGCTAGACATTTATTTTCCAGGCCAAATAAGGTATGATAGTCTCTCTCTCTCTCTCTCTCTCACACACACACACACACTCTCT